TGACATATATTTTGTTTATCTTACTAATATTATAAATGTGAAAGTTTAGATGTTTGGATGGATGTTTGTTTATCAATCACGCCAGAACGGCTAAACGGATATGAATTGGACGACATTTGGCACCGAGGTAGATTATAGTCTGAAATAGCACATAGGCTTTTTATCCCGGAGAAATGTACGGTTCCCGTGGGATAGACTTGTTTTTGTTTTTCTAGAGGTGAACCCAGGTGAGCCGCTAGTTAATTATTATATATTAAATGAACAATTAGTTAATTTAATCAATTTTTTTTTAGATTTGAATCAGTTATCTAAGAAGTTTCAACTACTAAACCAGCTTGTGTGGAGGACGTAAATAGAAAAGTTTATTAGGCAAGTTTAGCGAAGACCAAGTTGATATCTACCAAATTACACGACAGAAACTCTGTGCTCTAATAATGCCAGTAATACTTTCTTAATGCCTTTTGGACGATATTGTATATTTTTCCTTCTCTGAAAACAGTATAATGATATATTAAATAAAATAATAAATGGTGGATATTTTGTATCACTGGTTTATGTAATACATAATTCAATTACGACCTCTATAAATGATCAATAGTAAATTGAAAGTGATGTATAGATTTACTTCCTACATATAATATAATCATAAGGTTTCGTTTATTCGATAGAAATATGAAACCTGTATATATAAGATCACTGAAAAGCATTTTCGACATAATATGTTAGAACATAACTGAGACTAATCTATTTTAGACAGAAAAAGCCAAAAGAAATGATGCTAATCTTTCTCTTTCTATATATGTCACAACATAGATATAGATAAAAAAAGCAGTCATGAGGACTGCCGACAGAAGTGAAAACTTAAAACTGTAAACAAACAGTTGTTATTATTGGATATTCAAATTAATTGTTTGATCTTAAATTTACACCCCATCGAAACCTGCCTATAGAAGTTTTCACTTCAAAATACCACATAAAATATACGATAGTAAAAATATCCATAAGCTTTAAGAATCGAAAACTGAAAATGCATTTGTCAGAACGTGTTGATATTCTTGAATATCAGAATGAATCTACGCGAAGTAGTTTACACAGTAGAACGTTTTGCTGAAGGGTTTGACTGAAGAATGAAATTCAACTTTACTCCAGTAAAATATAAAGGAAATTTCTAAGAAGACTACTCGAGGAAGCTTCTTGTTTACGTGTGGGTATAAGAAAACCTTGATATCAAAACCAATTTTGCTATCGGAGACCACAAAAAGTATTAAACGTAGCACAAAAATATTCAGTATTAAGCAAGAAGTTAATAATTTAAGAGCCAGGGAATATAATGATTTTATTATATTTTGCTAGGCAATTATTTTATTTAAACGTATTCTTTGTACGTTTTTTTATATTGCTATCAGAAGTACCTATGTACATATAAATAAATTATTTATTTTTGTCTCTGTACATCAACCTGTGGGTTGTATATAGTCTACTTCAATATTCTAAAAAGTTTTTTTAGAAACACTTGATGGAAGCTAGCAGGTAGGTAAGTCTGATTATCACTTTTAAACTAATAAATGCTGTATAATTGTGTCGGCATATTTTCGTTTTATTTCTCATTCAGTAGTTTTATAGCGTTTCAACACGTTCATAACAATGTTTTGGCGGACTACGAAAAAAAAGTGAAGTTCTGAAATTCGTTCATATTAGGCATATTTGTACTTCTAGGAGATATTAACATACCTATACACAAATTTGTTTTTTCGTTTTCCGCTTCACGTGAAAAGCCCCATATAAAAATTAATATATTTGTATAAGTATATTATAATATATAAATTTGTTCTACGAAAAATTCAACAACATGAAGACTAAAAGTTTGAAATGTGTTGATTCTTCAAACTTCAGTATCGACAGTCACTAGATTATAAATGAGGCAAAAGAACGGGGAATTTATCAAATTGGGAATTAAAACTTTTCTCGCCAATTTTTTAGTATATAAGGTACCATGTAGGCGATAGTGGTAGCTCATTCCTATCGCGCTCTCTTGGGAAACCGAGTGAAGCGGGTTCAAATCCCGCGTATTGCACCTCTGATATTTTCATGTGCGAATCATTTCCAACACGATTACCACTTGTCTTATGGCGAAGGAAAACATCGTGAAGAAAACTGCATTTCTGAAAGAACATTTATTAGGAAGTTTTCGAAAGCCATGTGAAGTCCGCCAATCCGCACTTGGCCATCGTGGTGGACTATGGCCTGATCTCCCTCGTATTGAAGGGAGGCCAACCCCCAGCAGTGAGATGTTAAAAAGAGCTGAATACTTACATACATTTTTTTAGTAATAGAATCCTTAAAGGATCAGTCTGTTTGTCTGTCTGCCTCTAACTCCCATTGTATAAGGACTAAAATAAAAAAAACGTAGACTTACAATAAAAAAAACCTTATTAAGGTCTAAGGAAATACTTCTCATCCACTGAAATGACTGTCTATATCAGAATAGCCACCTCATATTATTGTACTTCCATTACCACACTTATAATATTAGTATGAATTATTAATAATTCAATTAGAATTAGGAATATAATATATTATAATAAGGAATTTAATATACATAAACAAATATTGGTATGTCAAACGGGAATATACACCCGACTTGAGTGTTTCACGAGGCTTTTTATTGTCGTAACAGTGCGAGTGATATCGCAGGTGAAAGCAAGTTTAAATTATCAATGAAGATAAAAATTGATTGTTTGATAAATTAAGGTAAGTAAATGTTGGTATTTCGAACTCCGAAGGAATGAACGTATTGAACATTCATTCCTTTAATTTCAGCGTCATTCAATTTTAAAAGGGCTGAGTAAAGCGTAAATAATTAACATGCCCCTGACGAATGTACCGCAATAAAAGCGTGAACTCAAATAAAGTCTGTTACAAGAGTAACGGCCTCCGCCATTTTGGGAAGTTTAATAAAATAAATGCCATTTTCTTATTAACGCTCCGTACATACGATGAATAAATAAAATGTTTATACCATGCCGTATTTTATCTGTTGATTTACCTATCACAACCTAAGTATTTTTATTAATTTAGTAATTTGAGGGATAAGTACATAATATGTAAATTATCCAAAAAAAAAAAAATTTTGCAAAATATTAACTAAGTAACTAGGCCTACTAATTCTATCAACTTAACGCTAACGAATGAAGCTGTTCATTTGCATTAAGTCTAAGTACCTGGACTACCAGGCTTCGTTCGGTGTTTTTGGCCAAAAAACATTAAAAAAAAACAAACTAAAAATTTGAATAAATACAAAAAAACAAAAGTAAAAACTTTGTATCCGACCGGGATATGAACTCAGACACTTGTGTTTGTCTAACTTGCGCCTTGGCCGCTTGACCACGATGCTTATCTCCTGGCGTGTGAATTAGCGACCATATTTTGCGTGGAATAATGCGAAATAAAACCGCATAAAAACTTGAAAACACGCGTTTTCCCAGATATAAAACTAATCTAGATTGATTTATCGCCACCTAAACCCCCTGTACACTAAATTTCATGAAAATCGTTGGAACCGTTACCGAAATTCAGATTATATCTATACCTACATATAATAAAATTGTGGTCGAATCTATAGTTTTTAGAATTTTTGTCTGTCTGACTGTCTGTTACCGCAATCCAGAAAAACCACTGGATGGATTTTGATGAAATTTGGTATGATGATAGCTGGTTATCCGTGTCAACATATAGGATACTTTTTACCGCAGGAAAATATCTCATTTCTGAGAAAAAATACAAAAACTGTTATGTAAGAGTAAACTAATATTTAAAACCTAAGAATTTGATTTTTGGTCGTCTGAACGCGGGCGGAGCCGCGGGCAACGCTAGTTATTATATAAATACTTAAACTTTAATCGGCTAAGTGGATTCAAAGATATAACGTAAGTAACCTGTAGACTCGAAAACATAAAAACTAAATAAAATAAATGTATAACTTGCCTCATGTGTTTATATAATAAAGTTGCACAAAAAATATTTAGCTATATTTTATGGTCAGGATAATTTATTTTAAAACTATTGTTAAATGAGAATTTCATATAGGTAATAAAAGCCTTTAAAGGTTCAAACGCTTTATAAAGTTAAGCAAAGATTTCAAAGTAATAATACCCTAGCTCTAAAACAAAGAAAACTATTTAACTTCGATATACGTATAAAACTTTCAACATAAGTTAAAATCCGCTGTCAATTTATATTTTATATTATTTATTTGATACTAAATTTAAACTCAAATCTACACAAATATTTTTATACTACGATATTATTTTTTAAAATTGTTATTTGTTATTAGGCATTATGCATACCTATCAATAGGTTAACCAAAATATGTACGCTGTACGGCTATGGACCTGTCAACAGTCAAATGACGTAATGCAAATTAATTAAAAGAAAAAATGAACACTGGATAGAAATTTTCAGTAGATGAAAAACGTTCCCTAACGGTTATTTTCGAAACTAGCAAAAGTAGTTAACACTATTAAGTATTAATTCTAGAATTAACAATAATAAATAAATACTTTGTAGTTTATGGATGTTTTTATATTTATTTTCCAAATGTTTAATGTACAAAATTAATTAATATCCAAAGTTCAAACAGTTTTTCAGTCAACATTGAGTGCTTGATTCGAGTTTTAAAAATGCAGTGTTTTTAATTTTTTTCTAGTAGCGTCATCTGTTGACAGAATAATATTTTAATTATATTTAGGAATAATGTTTTATTAAACATAAAAAGGTAATTTATATTTTCACGCTACATTTTAATTAACAATTAATATTTTTAGTTGATCTTTATGACATTAACGTTTCATAGATAATAGCTATGTTTAATTTCGAACTCCCACCCGTCAGTGCGCATCTCTACGCCCGTCCATAGACAACGTGTTTTGACAAAGTTTTGACCGTGATAAAAATGACGAGCCCCACATTTATTTAGAAAATTAATAAAAGTTTTATCAAATATGACTGTGTGGCAAAAACTCGAAAATGAGGACTGCTACGCTGTTGGTGAGTAAATAAAATAAAATTTGTGTTTCATTATAGAAAAAAAAATAAGTTGTAAATTATTGTTCATAGAATCCCTCCCGCGGAGACCAAAAATATAAACAGTCTCATCAAGTTTATTTGCTTGTAACATTAAAAATTATTTTATTGTATTTTGTATAGTTTTTTTTTTAATTTTTATTTCTATAATATGACCTCATAATTGTATGATATTATGAAAAAAAATTGTTAATTTGTTCTCAACTTTATTTGATGACGTCTTGATGAGATTTTTTATCAAAATTATATCAGTAATCAATGTCAAGTTCGAATGTTTATGTTAAAAATAAAGGCTGTATTTTATAAATAAAGTATTATTGATATTTTCAATTATGAATTTATATAACACAATGTTCTTATACAAATACCCATTATTTTGAAAGAATGTTTGAGGAAAATGTTTGTTTATATTTCATTTGTAACTAACGATCTGTATGTTTCCTTAATAAATTGTATAAAAATAATAATAATACTGTAAATGGCTGTTACTTTCACTGATAAGAATGTATATATCCGGCTACATGGCAGTTGTGATAAAATATATAATAGCGGGTCATGGTTTAGAGTCACCATAATATATTATTACAATTTTTCTAATCATTTTCTATATGGTTTTTAAGTGTATTACTATATAATTCTAAATAAATTACTTTTGATATTCATAAAACAACTTATTTTTTATGTACATGTTTGTTTTATCGATATACTTGATGACAAAATATTTGAGAATAGAAAAAACTAATAAGAAAATAAATATACCATACAAATTTTTTATGCCTCATAATGAATTTCAATTATAAATTCTAAAAAAAATAATTTCCACATATTCTAAAACAAACTGCGTTAATGTGATATTTTTGTGAATAGCTATATAACTTGTGAACTGAAGGTTAACATACTTTCAGGTTATTAGATTGTTGCAAGAAGTTACCCAGCAATTAGCCACTAATTTCATTACTATCATAAATATTAAAGTTTGAGATTGAGTCAATGGCTACTTAACAGATTTGAGTGCAATTTGCAGTTAAGATAGGTTATATTCTAAATGAACACAAGCTATATTATTTACTCCCTTCTAAGGCACTAGAAGGGAAAACAAAAAAAATATGACAAATTTAGTTAAAGAAAAAAAAGTTATTAATGGAATACAATATGTAGGCTAATAAATATTTGCATTAAAAAGGTTTGGTTTGATATTCAATCTGAGTAAAACAAGTGAAAGTAGAAGTACTTACTGAGTCATTCAATAATGTATGCATTTATTTTTTCATTGGGATTAAATTGACTGATAATTCTATACTACTTGATTTTAATAAGTCACTGGCAAAAGAGATGTGTGTTGTTGATAAAAAGTTCCGTTTAGCATTTTGTTCCCCCCTGTATTTATTATCCTATTATAACATATTTATTGCTTTTAGGGCAGATCTGTAGTTCATATTAAGTTAATACAATATGGCATTTTTAAACTTTATTTCGGAGGTAAATTATTATTAATTGTGTAGCTTGTATATAATTTATAATTGCAATGAAAATTACATTTTTAATCAAATTTTTGATTCTTTAAGAATATGAGTTTTAAATTTCATCATTTATTATATTATGCAATTAATGTTATATTGTAACTTACATTATGTAACAATAAAACAACTTTGAGGTCATAACTTTTTTCCCAAGGTGTAGTTATTGTAATAAAACATCTGATGCCTCTTGGGTCCTATTATGTCAAAATTATTATATAAAGAAAAAGCAGATGCCATTTTCTATCTGAATTATTAATATTAAGTATGTTTATTTTTTTTAAGGAAACTTAAATTGGATAAATTATATAGTCTAACTAATATTCTGTTTGATGTACCAGTATAAAGTATTTTCAATGACATTTAGGCAAATAAATCCAAAAAATCAACTAGGTATCTATAAAATCTTTTTGTTTACAAATGATGTGAAATTTAAAAACCTTTATACACATAATTTTGATATATGAGTATTTAATGAAATTCTGATTGGAGTCTGTACATTAAAATTTTTTTAGAAAAGCTTATTGCAATAGTCATTATTATCAATACAGAGGCTGAATCTATAGTTTTTAAAATTTTCATCTGTCTGTTTGTCTTGGATCCCATCACTAAAACACTGGACAGATTTTGATGAAATTTGATATGATCATAGCTGGTTATCCGGGTTAACATATATACAGGATATATATAGGATACGTTTTACTGCGGGAAAATATCCCATTTCTCAGAAATTTATACTAACCGTTAAATCATACCTAGGGACGAACCCGAGTGGAGTGAGGGTGAGTCGCTAGTTTTTCAACAGAGTTCTTCAAAGAAAAAAATTTGATTAGATATAATAATATAGTAAATGAAAACTACGAATCGGTTATTTTTCACTTTTTAGTGCTTTTTTGAATTTAGTTTTTAGTTTTTTGTCAAAAAGATTTTATTTATGAAAATAATTATATCAGCCTTAACTGTTTTTAAATTATGTACACAAAAGTTTTAAATACACTTAAAACTACGTATTGTTTGCTGCTTAAAAAGGATAGTTAATACATAGATAGAGTTTATGATGCCAGTTTTCATTCACTAGTATGGACAAACTGTAATTTTGAATTCTAAATGAACATTTAGAAAGTTGTATATGGCATAATATGTGTATAGACCTGAATAATTTATTTGAAGTTTATTCGACCGGTGCTTTGATTCATTAAGCAAATAATGGTTACATGCAAAATCAGTAATTACCTACTAATGTTGCAGTTCATTTCATATTGCTAACTACTGAATTATCTAATTCTTATCAGGTTATTTAAAAAAATATCTAAATTTTTATTCTTTATTCTCTAAGATGTCTAAAATCATTATAATTTTATGCACCGCACAGTAGATTATGCTGATAAAATATAATACAAAATATGACTTAACCGACAGAGTTAGATCGGTTTTTAGTTAAAACTAGCATTACCCGTGGCTCCGCCCGCGTTCAGGTGACCAAAAACCAAATTATTAGGTTTTACATATTATAATTCCCAAGGAGGGTTGACTTCAGGCAGGCGGCCGGTCGTAAAACTTTTGCCAAATCCTATCAGCAGTACAGAAGATGTACTGCGCCGACCCCAAGTGTTTTGGAAATGGGCAGGGAGAAGAAGAATACATATTAGTATACTCTTACATTGCAATTTTTGTATTTTTTCTCAAAAATGAGGTATTTTCCCGCGTTAAAAAGTATCCTATATGTTGACCCGAATAACCAGCTATCATCATACCAAATTTCATCAAAATCCCTCCAGTGGTTTTTCTGTGATGCGGTAACAGACAGACAGATATATTTTTAAGAAACTATACATTCGGCCTCTGTATCGATAATAATGTTTATTTCAATAAGATTTTACAAAAAAATATCTAATGTTCAGTACATTACTCGTTTGGTGTAACCAAAATTTTATTATATGTAGGTATACATAATATATAAACTGATTAGTTATCATTATCTTATCACAGTTAAATTTGAAATTGTTTTTGTTTAAAAACTATTAGTAAATGAATGTTTGTTGACAAACAGATACATATTACGATTTTATTGCTAATCTTCTTTACGATCACTACGATGTTTGTTCATAATATTTTACTCGTGCACAAAATCATATAAGAAAACTACGTTTTAAAGCAGTTAGAATTATTTATTTTTGTGAATTTTAGTTAAGTGGTTTACTTCAATTTCATTTTTCTGTATAGATAATGTCAAATAGTTTATAAATTCTAATGATGCATTTAATGCTTTATGTAGTTAGTGACCCCAGGCGATATATTATAACAGGGACTGTCATTATTTAGTGCAAGTAAATTAAAATCAGCACGCCAAGTCGCTGACAAAAGTTAGCCCTCATTTAGAAATCTATATATATATATATATATATATATATATATATATATATATATATATATATATATATATATATATATATATATAAATACAATGATGTTCGTCAGTAAAGCTCATCATTTTAGAAAGGCTGGAGAAATTCGTGTTATTTTTCTTTTCTTTAAATGTTTTTAATACTTCGAATACGGTTTGCTGAAAGAAAAAATTGAAAAGAAAGTATATTTTTTATTTTTTTTCATTCAAAAGATCACCAACGAATTTATTGAAATTTAGTCAGAACCACAAAATTAAAGTATGTATTTTAAATTTTGTGTACGACTGCAAATATTGTACGTACGTTACATAAGTATAGAAGCTGTTTTGTTTACACGGTCTTTGAATAAGACGAGACAAACGTTCACAGTAGCCCGCATTTGGTGTTACATTACAAACAAGTGTCTAAGTTATTCATCAAATTAATACCACCAGTGACCGCGACTCCGTCCGCGTTCAAATTTCAACTTCACATAATCACCCGCTGGGCTACTCTGAACATTGCCTGGAAATTACATCAAAATCGCTCCAGCCGTTTTCGAATCCATAGAGAACATACATACACATCGATTTTTATATACCTACTAGATAGATTAGTCTTAAATTTTTGATTAACACTTCGTTTCATTTGACAGATTTAATGATTCTACATTTTAATTTTCATGATACGGACGTACGACAATACTAGAAAAAATACTATACTACATATATATAGACAGGCAGACAAAAATTCTAAAAACTATAGATTCGGCCCCTGTATGACTAATGACTATTTCAATAAGATTTTCCAAAAAATATTTAATGTACAAATTCGACTCAGAATTTTATTAGATATATATACCTACATAAACATTTATCATTCTATACGAATTATAGATGAACTAAGCGAGCGTAGCCGCGGAAATTTGCTAGTTAATATATAAGTACGAGTTTCTACAATTTTAGACGCGGATTCCACATTTCATGTAATCTAGACAATAAACCACACCAAGTGGTGATGTTACCGGTAATATGTTTAATATTGCCATTATCTAGAATACCTT